TATAAATGTAATGAATAAATTGGATAAGCAAATCCCTCCATATATTGCAAGCAGGATCCTTTTCAGGTGTTTAGTTGATTTATCTCCTCTATTCTTTCCTCTACTTCTTTATATTTTAGAATAGTTTTATATTTTAGAATAGAATAGAATAGAATAACAGTTGGAAGGGACCTTGGAGGTCTTCTAGTCCAACCCCCTGCTTAGGCAGGAAACCCTACACCACTTCAGACCAATCATAGTGACCAAAGTTACCATCACACTGAAAAAAAGTGACTAAGGACCCTTTTTTTACACTTTTTACGACGATTGCCACATCCCCATGTCACGTGATCAAAATTCAGACGCTTGGAAACTGACTGGTACCTTTGACAGTTGCAGTGTCCCGGAGTTATATGATCCCCTTTCACTTGACAGTGGTGCCACTGAATTAACTTTGCAACTGTGCCAAGGAAGGATGTAAAACAGGGCAAAACTCCACTGCACACATGTCTCGCTTAGCGTCGGGCTCCATTGTGGTCATAGGTTGAGGACTACCTGGGTGAAGGCTCAAAGGAGGCCCCCGTCAATGTCTCGACCCTCTGCCTGCCTGCCTTCAACCAGAGTGCAGCTCTTTAACAGATTCAATATGGCAACCGTTAGCTTGGCTGCTGTAAAAAAAAACGGCTTTAAATCTTAGGGAAAAAGCTTTTTGCCTTTATGGAGTACTAATGGCTCCCGAACCTCTTAAAATTTCCTTTATGAGCCTTTCATCTCTTCCAATCACTTCTAAAACCTTCTCTTCTTTTTTTCAGCCCTTTTTAAAGACTTTGCAGAAATGTGCTCTTAACTTAAAGTCAGAGGGTGGTGGTGGGGGTTTTTTTTTGGGGGGGGGAAATCTTTGCAAAGAGAATGGTCTTGAAAATGGTGCTTAATATTTCAAAACGGCTTCCTTACCCACCCACCCCATTTCTTCTTCTAGAAAGGGAAAGGAGGGGGACAAGAGGCACGTGCCCCCCCCCCCTAATTGTTCGAGATGCACGGAACTCTTTTTTCCCTTCTTAATTCCTGCAGGCGGGAGCCCTTGTCTAGCCGTCCATTAAAAACAATTACGAGTCTTAAGGACTTCGGAGTGGGTGATTATTCGCCCGTCCCCCAGAGACATGGAGAGTTAGTTTATTAAATGAAATCCCAATAAGGAAGCCAACCTGGGAGTCAGTAATGACATTAATGCTGTTTTTCATCCAAAGGGACCCTTCTTTGTTCCCCAAACGCAAAATCTATATGGATAAAGTTTAAGGCGAGGGGGGGGGGCAGAAGCCAATGGATCTTTTTTAAACAGGCTTAATCACGAATCAATCCTCCTCCTTCACATCAAAAGATTTGTCCAGATAATGCCACAACGATAAGAGAGGGTTTTTAAATTGACATGCCGGATAAATGATCCCAGAAGATGTAAAAATATTAGTCAGGGAAAGAAGCAAGAGAAGAAATGGATTGTTTATTTCAAAATAGCACTTGGGATCATCCTTTTTTTTTGAGGGGGGGTAACCTTTGATTATTAGAGATACTTAATTGCTCAGAACTCACACAAGTAATCAATTGATTTAATGCACACGTGGGGGGAAATCTTCTTAAGGGGCCCTAGCCCCATATTTCCATTAATCTTCTGTTGCAGGAAGGGATTCCCTAAGTCGTCGTAATAAAAATCGGATTTATTTTTTTAAAAATCAAGCTTCTTATTCAGTAAACTGGTTTATTCCGAAGGTTTGTCTAACCAACGAGTAGTACAAACCTTATTTTTTTAACACCTTGCAGAGTTTTAATTGCGAGTGGCCAGGGTTAGGCTAGGAGAGGGAAAAAAGAGAGATTTCCTTCTTGCGCTAAGAAAAAAGACACAGCATGTTGCACCTCTGATGTTATTGTGAGGTCCAGTTAGACGAAGCTTTAATGAGAATAGACCAGATGTTTGATCCCGCATTTTGATTTGTGGCTTCTCCTGATCGCCGGGAAAGAGTTTCCAAGTGGTAATACAGAAAATATCAAGGTGGTTATTCTGTAGGCGGCTGTGCAGTCCTTGGTGCTCTCTCGAGTTTGGCTGTTTTCTTGGGGACATTTCACTACCCAACTAGGTAACTTCATCAGTGTTGGAAGGGAGTGAGTTTGCTCTCTTTCTATATACTAGTGGCCTCCTGTGTCATGTTGGTGGCGTTGTTTTTTTTTCCTTGTATTCAAAAGTTTTATTTCTTTTAAAACAAACATTTCATCATTCCTCAATCAGTAAGAC